AGGGTTAAAAAAAAAAGAAGAGAGAAGCTAATCCTAAAAAAAAATTGAAAAATTTCGCGCATAGGAATACGTATCGATCTCAAACTCTTCAATGCATGCGAGGTAATTTCTCCCATCTCAAAGCAAAATTAAATAGTTGCATCATTAAACAGAGTAGCTCATGGTATTGGCCATCGGTCTCATTGGCCTCTTCGGTGCCCTTCAATTTTGATCCAAAATTCGAATTTTTCGAATGAAAATTTGAAAAAATCTACCGAACACTATTTCTTGGAATCATGTGAACACCATTAAATAGCGTGAAAATTATGAAAATTGCAACAAATAATGAGAAGAGCACTGAACATACTATATGTTCTGATAATTAGCATCAATATAAAAAAAACAGGAATATACAAATATTCTACAAAAGAGCATGATACGGCAACTCTAGTGACGATGTAATGTCGGCTCTCTTATAGGCCGAAGAAGGTCGAGGAGGTGGAGATCAGACACAGAGAGAAAGATCGTATGAAGCTGAAGACGACGACGACGAAGACGACACCGACGACGAAGAAGACGAAGTGCCGGCCACCAAGAGGAAGAAGCAGAACAAGGACGAGAACCGGAAGCGCAGCTTGGCGGTGGTTTCGACTTGGGCCAAGATGGCCGCTCGGAAGCAGGAATCCCGGGCTCGGATGGCTCAGATCGAACAACGGCTTTCTTTCATGGAGGAAAACGTGAACGAAAAACTGTCCAACGTCGAGAATCTCATCCAGACTCTGGTCAAGAAGAAATTCGACTCGCCATAGCGTCTTGCTTTTTTATTCTTTTTTTTTGCCTCAGTGCGATGCTCAACTTTTGACTGGCGCATTCGTAGCGAATGGTCATGTTCCTCGTGAGCGAATGCTCGTTGATCGAATGAAATGGGTTTTTTGAAGATTGGAATCAGGATGATTGAGATTTTCTTCAAAGCCCTTAAATCCCCCCAGCAGCTGTCGGGCATCGATCCAACAACGAGAACTGGGTCAAAAAGAGTGGAATTAGGGTCGCATGAAGGAAGGCATTATCATGAGGGACACGAAATAGACTAACTCTCGTCATTTCATCCCCAGAGTTCCGATTTCATGGCCTCTCGTCACGATCTGAGAATCCACGAGGAGCAGCGAAAAAGCCCCTCCTTTGAGAATCTAACATGCCGTTTGGAATACCGAATGCCATCGGGCAATAAGAGGACTTAGGCGAAATAAATGGAGGCCCTTCCAAGAAAGGAAGGTGCTGGAGACAGATGCCTTCAAACGTTAAGACGAAACGATGCATCCATGGAGCCATTTGAAGAAGTACCCTGTACTATCTATAGTACACCAAGTTATCGGAAATGGACTTCTCTCTAATGCTATACTTGTGTACCTCGAATGCGCTCGTGCACCTTCTCGAGATCACATCCATTAATGGTCTTGTGTACTGTGCATACAGTCAAAGCATCCTTGTGTCTAGGGGTGCATACTCACTATTTTCTCCGAGTACAGAAGAAATTATACCTACGGTGCTCTGGATTAGGTGCAGATGAACGTAGATATTCGGAAAGCATGATCAGCTTCAGCTTCAGCCTGCTGTGAGACGTCATGGGGAGGAGCGAGATGAATATCAACAGCCCACTCTTAACGTCGTTAGATACCGTCAGTATCATCACAGTCGCATCACTGGTTCCCACTAAGGCTAAGTGTGCGTCCGTACTGATCGGATTCTGGAAGTACAGCGTCTGGTGTCTGGGTGCATTCAAATATGTCCATCGCCATATTTTGGTCCAATCTTCCGAAACTTTCTTGGGCTAAATTTACATGCTTGTACTCGTACTTGAGGCACACGCGATGCACACGTCTCCTCCGAGAGTTCATGCATTCCTGGAATACCCATAATTAATGGCAATCCTGGAAACATTTTTCGCACATGTGATCGGACGGGAACTCGAACCATAGCCGCAAAACAACCACATAGCTCCATGATTTTCAAATTCTCCCTTGTTTTTTTTTTCCATAAGGCAGATTATTACAAAGTTTTCTCTTCAGAAACAGTTCGTGAAATAGTAAATCCGTTGGTCAAAGTGATACTCAGAATAAATGCTCGCAACTCATCTCGTATGTGATATACAGAAAAAAAGAGGCCTTATTATTTCTCTTATTTACGAGGGGTGTTGAAAATGTTTCCGGCCAGAGGCAGTTGGATAAACTCTTTACTTTTCTCATGGGAAGGCAGATGTTTTTGAGGGTGACTCGCATTATACCACCTAATTTGTCGATGATATTATTTTCTTTTAATGTTCTACCAAAGGGCCTTGCCGACAGGATATTAAAATTGAGACGAATGCCGTGATGAACCTCGAAGGAGTCGATTTGGGCAATTCGTTGGCAATTTGGGAGCAATTCGGGAGTTGGGCAATTCGTCTCGGTTTTAATATCCCTTCAGCAAAACCCCTTTCGGAAGTGCATTGGGAAAAAAAAATCCGTAAAAGCTCTCCATGGCAGACGAAGAAGATGAAATCTTGCCCATCGCCATCGAAGACATCTTCTCTCCCGCGAGAAAAGTACGACCGGTTGGATCACGACTGGAAGGGCCGGAAATTTCTCCAAGACTCTCGACAATTGGGTACTTAAGATTCATTCCCCTCGAAATCCTTCGAAATATGATTTCTTGGAAATTTCATATCTATGGAGGATGCGACCCGTTCAAGAGGATAATTTCTCGCAACGGAGGGAAAATTGAATTTTTCAGCGGTACGTGGCGAAGCTTTTCCTGGATCCCCACAGGCCATCTCCTGAGGAAAAATAACAAGCCAATCATCCGATGTCTCGGAGGAATCCTCAAGTTTCCTCGTGTTTATTTAGCCGAGACGAATCGGGTTCTGTGATAGCCTTGATGGCGGGAGCATGAGATTCCCCACATTTCTAACGGAAGGCATCTCGATGAAGAGAGCCAAGCTGCCGAAATCATTTTGTGAGTGGGCAAGGTGGTGTGCATAAAGGGATGGGGAAAAAAGAGTATGAAATGAAGCAGTAGGTTTCGCCGTGACGAAGCCATCGGCAGCACGTGCAGCGTGCGTACCTGTGAAATTCTTGAGAAAGGGCTCCAGGCTCTTGAAAATTATTATTCCATTTTGGTCGCTTCACGAATGCGAGACGCGAAGGATCAGCAACGGAGTTTCTGATCTCGTGGAGAAGCTTGAGTTTCGGGCGGCTTCGCGCTATTCCTGCTCTCTTTCATCCTGTGTCAACGCCCAGAGGTAATGTCATTGCGTTATTCTGCCTTACTCTACATCGAGGCATATACTTTTTTTTTCATCTTCCCCTGGATCGGACACTCAACTGCACAGACTTTCCTGAGCATCTCAATCAGGAAGAATTCAACTTCCATTCAGCCGACTCGATTGCAATTCCTGGGACGCCTCTTCGGCACACAGATCGTGCTGGAAGCTGACACGTCAGCCGAGACCGCCGATCTTCAGCGGGGCAAACTTACGGACGGATTCCTTCCTTGAACGTGGGCGGAATTCCGATGGAATCGATATTCCGATTCTCGAAAGGCTCTTGCACGATTCCCCCGAAAGTTCAGGGAGTCTCAGTGAGTCTCATCCTCCGAAACGCATCGTGAGAGAAATGAGAAGACGATGAGTGCGATCGCTGGAGCGGCTCGTCGTGATTCCCTCAGCCAACACGGAACGACTGTCGACGACATCGACACACGAACGAGCTGTTGCCGCGAGAGGATGAGCTCGAGTTGGCACGACTTTTCTGTAACCACGTAGGCAGATTCCTTCTGCGTTCACCAGTCTGATAACGGATTCTACACTGTAAAAAAAAAAAACTAGCCTGAAATCGACCAGCTTTATGATACAAATCTTACTCTGTGGCTCCATTGAAAATTCCTTTCTTTCCACTGTAATATACCAAAAGAAACTCGATGGCAACCCTGGATGGCAACCCTCTGCAGCGCTTGGAAAAGCCTCCCTTTAGCCTGATTTGAAGAGAGGCTGAGCTTTTTCCCTGGAGGCATTCGGGTCCAGACGTGAGGAAAGTAGGAAACTAATCCGTTGTCTTTTCGTCTCATCAGACCGAATGGTCTGCGAAGTCCTTTGGGGGTTAGAGACTCTTTTTTTTTTTTTTCTCCACGAAATTCTCCTTCCTTTACCTCCTTGTTAGCCAGTGTTAGGCAGTGAAGCTCGTGACTGGAATTAAGGCCGGAATCGTTCGCTGAGTTCATAGTTCTTCCAGTTCTTCTTCACACCTCTCTCCCTTTCTCTCTCTCTCTCTCTCTCTCCTCTCTCTCTCTTGGGAGAGGAATTTAACTGGAATGTGGACGGGAAAGGCCCATAAAACTTTCTTCTGCCAACTGGGATCCACATGGATACGGGGAGTGAAAGGAACGTAAAATGTTGAATTTCACAGCGATCTTTGGGGTGAACATTTATAATAAAAAAGGACATCGTCCAATAGTTAGACGAGTACTGAAAAGATGGCTCTTCAAACGGAGAAAGACCGGGCATAATTTGGACCGAGACAATCATTTATGCCATAGAACATATCAGCATTCCTTCGGGTACGAGCTAGGATTCTCTCTTGGAGATTCATTTGGAAAATCTTTGGAAGACTTTGAAGACTTTGCGTGGAATGATGAATGAAGAGAGAGAGAGAGAGGAGAGGAACTCATTTCCATCTTTCCCCCCTGGGAGTCTCATGCAGAATTGCTAAAACGTGAATTAATTTGGGTTGATGAAAGGGTCCACGTGGGATCCGGTTCGTTTGGGTTAATCTCGTTCCCATAATCGACATGAATGGAATCTGATCGGGGTTCGGGTAAGACGGATCCGGTGTGTCACCGCCGCCGGCTCCAGGGCTTTCGATTTTTCTGAGGAGTTGTGAAAAAAAAGGGGGGATCGTTTCGCGAAGAATTCATTTCTTCTCGCAGCAATGAAAGAACGATTTCATTGCCGAGAGGAGAAATTGGAGATTTGAGTCCCTTTTTTTCCCTCCATCTCGTCTCTTCATTTCTCTCTTTTCTCCCTCGCTTGTCTGATAAATCCCTCGTGGGAGAGCGGCAGAGGGGAGTCATTTCCGAGTCAAGTCTTTCTTCTTTCGATGCTGAAAAGAAAAAAAAAAAAGAAGGAAAAGTCTGCTCGCTTTCACTTGTCTGGCGTCTTCCGATTCCTTCCGCGGAATTCTCACCGCGTTCATTCGTGTTGCATCAGAGGGCGGGAAAGGTGGATTTTTTCTTCCCGTTCGAAGGCCCAAGATTTAGTCGGTTTGGTTTCTACACTGACGGAAGGAACGGTCTGCTTTATCCTTAAGAGAGATCGGTCTTTCTTTTAAATACTGTGACGGTCTTGGCGGCCTGTCTCGTCAGACCACCCTTCCGGAGTACTGAATCCGACACGTTGGGGTACTGGCGAGATCCGCCCTCCAGTTCGCAGACCGGATGCCGACACCGGGTATAACCGTAGCCGTACAGGAGGCTCTAGGATCGGGGTGAACCCCAACGAAACTCAGGAGAGCGGATAGGGGACCACAGCCAAGCTTTAATGCGAGCCATTGGTTTCAACAACACAACCGAGTTTCTTAACCAGATCAATCGGGGCAATCCAATGCAAAGGAATGTCACAGCCAAGAAAGCTTATTACACATCAACCAGATACAGACTGCGATTGCCAAACGCGAACAGGGACAACGGGGACAGGGACAATACACGAGCCGGGGAAGTCTACCACCTAGACGGTGATTCGGCACGAGGGCGTAAGGAACCTCGTTGCCTCGGTTGGTGAATGGAGTCT